GTCAGACATTTGATTAACCAATCAACATTGATGTTTTTAATGGATTACCCACAGTTCCTTGCAAAACACGCCTAAAGCTCGCCGTAACAGACCGTTTCATTGGCTAATCACTAACACCATCCAGAACATGTCAATGATAACAACTCTTCCAGATACTAGTATAGTAAAGACAAGTAAAACGAAATTTTGAACTATAAAAAACGAAATCAGATTGTTCCCATTGGTGCACAATTTGTTTCCCTTAGGGGGGCTGCAGCTGCCCCTATTGCCCCACCTCCCGTTAGCTACGGGCCTGTTCAACCTGATTGACATCAACTGGAGTAATCCCTAGGGACTAGCTAAATATTCTGACTGCTGGATAATCCGTGGACAGCTCTGGTTCAAGATTAAACCCGATTGTGACCAAAATAATTTTATTAACAGTAAATTACTACATAATTTTAAACTAAATATACACAGTCGGGTAAAGGAATACAAAATATTTCATAATCTTACCGACCCTCTCACACTAGTACTAGCGTATACCAGCGTTCGCAAACTACCATCACACACAGGGGTATCCCACTACTAAAAATGTCTGTCAGAGTGCTTTTGTAATACCTGAAGATGTATAATACACTGCTGCACGGTTTTCATGTGGTACACATTTCAGCCAATCTAGTCCAGGAATTCACGCCGATAATCACAACCCTCACAGCAACACCCACCACCAGATACCAGGCAGGTATAATTAACATTAGAATAATTAGACCTATGCTAATTACAATGATATCCGGAGTCACGGTGGCTTAATGAGTAAAACGGTGGCTCGCTAGCCTGGACAGCGCGGGTTTGCTCCCGGTGTTTGACGAGAAAGTTCTTAGTAGGGTTTTTCCGGCGGGGTTTCCTCTTTAGGATAGTACGAAAAAACCGAGGTCCCGTGTACGCACATTGGCATGCACGTAAAATATCTCTTGGCAGTTGGAATTCGATATAAGAGTAGGCCTAGGCCGTAGGGCCGCAGTCCGGGCCAAGTTTCGCTCATAGCACCCTGCAATGTATATGCCCATCTTCATTAGCCCAGTCGAAGCAGAACAGTAGGACGTTAAACCTCTTCTTATCTCCGTCATCCACTCCTTTGGTCTGTCATCTGTATTGTTTTTAGCACAATACAGGCCTTAGTTATTCTCCTTTGTAACAAAAGCTTGTTAATATCATAGAAGGATAATGAATCCTTGGATTATCATCCACCGCTGTTTACTCTCACTGTTCTCACATCTCTAACCAATAATTGATCAAGAAATATCAAGTTGAGCAGGCAACAATCCAACGGGTTGCTAGTGAATGCTACTCCGTACATTTTTATACACCCAAATTTCCACGTGGACGTATATTGTCGTCGCCCCTCAGGCTGTCCGGACGGACGTCCAGACCGACGGACGGACAGGGGCAACGACAATATACGTCTACCATTTGTTTGTGGGCAGTCAACAGGTCAAAATTTTGACGAAACGTGAAATATATACTCAGCCAAATTAAAAACTTGACACTCGGGATATTTGGGACTAGATTTTTAATATTTGGTTTAAGGCAACTATTTTAGTGTTATGTTGTGCACAGACGACCTTGACATCAACAGAAAGCAAGAATACGTCTCGCCGAAAGTCCTTGACATTGATAACGTTCGTGATGTCACAGTACCCCCCAAAATGAAATTCACAGACTTGGAGAGCAATCGGAATAAAGTGTTTAGTAACGGTTGTGGCCTCCTCTAGCGTCTCGTACTGCCACACAACGTCTTCTCATGGATCTCAGAACATTAGTAAACACTACCCGAGGAAGACGTCGCCACTGCTCAGCAAGAGCATGTTGAAGGTCCTGCAACGTCAGTGGTGGATTCACTTGCTGAAGAACACGTCGACCCAGTTCGTCCCAGATGTGTTCAATAGGATTAAGGTCGGTGCTAAGCCACGGCCAATCCAGGACTTGCTGTATGGGGTCGAGCATTGTCTTGATGAAACGTTAGTCCAGGCCCATGTCTCTGCATGAACGGAAGAAGAACAGGTTGCAAATTCTGATCCCTGTACCGGACAGCATTTAAGTTCCCTTGGACAACAACAAGAGGAGAACGTCCATGTGCACAAAAAGAACCCCAAACCATGACGCTGCCGCCACCAAATCGGTCAACTTCTCTGACGCATACTTGAGCGTAACGTTCACCTCGTCTGCGGTACAATCGGGCCCTGCCATCGGCAAATCTCAAAGTGAATCGAGATTCGTCACTAACGACAACCGAATTCCACTGTCTTTGAGTAAATCTTATGTGTCTTGTGGCCCACACAAGTCGGTTACGGCGATGAAGAGGTGTCAATATTGGTCCATTATAGGGCCTCCGAGCTCGAAGACCAGCAGCCTGCAAGCGATTTCGAACAGTTTGTGCAGTTACCCTTCCACCAAACATCTCTCTACTTGTGGAGGTTGCAGTGACAAATCTGTTTCTAAGATGACGTAATCGTATTGCTTGATCTTCCTGGTGTGACGTCACACGTGGCGCTCCCACCCTTGGGCGGTCGGCAATAGTTCCAGTTTGAAGCAATCTCATTCTAAGATTAATTATTGTCTGGCGTGAACAATTAAAGGCTCTTGCAACAGTGACAACAGACTGACCAGCATAGAGCCTACCTATAGTACGTAGACGTTCTACATTTGAAAGGCGCGGCATTTTCTAACAAAGATGAAAATAACAATTTTAATTTGTTTTTCCAGTTCAAGTTACGTGTGCGCGTCAGTTTAAGCAAACTTACATCGATTGACCTCACGAGTTTCTGTTTGCACGTGTTTTTCAGGTTTTTCATCTTTATATGCTCAAAAGGCACGTGATCCACGTGACTTTACAGTTTTATGAAATTAAAGGCTTCTTACTACTTACTATCGTTAGAAACACTTTAAAATTTATTTGACTTACCAGAAAAAAAAAATTGTTGAAATACATCAGTGTCAAGTTTTTAATTTGGCTGAGTATAGGTTTATCTCCCAAAGATCTCGGTTCCTTCCGATATTGGCATGTATCGGACGGTAACTTCATGTATAATGACCCCTGATTGTACGAAAAATATCATTTTAAGCTTGTGGAGTCTCTAAAACTTACATTTTTTTTATCCGAGTATGATGGCCCCTGATTGTACGAAAATTCGGGTTTTTACTTTGTGGTCCCGTAGTCGTCTAAATTTATCGATCTCTTTCGATATTAACACATATCGCACCGGAACTTCATGGATTATGGCACCCGATGATACAGCTTCTGAACCCTCTACATGATTGTGGTCCCTATAGAGGTCACAACCTTCATCCAATTAAAAAAACAAAACAAAAAAAACGTTCAAATATATCACCATTACACCCTATTGACATTTTCGTGAAAATCTGCCTGACATTGCCGGACAAATTGGCCGCTCCTTGTACTCAAATAATGTAAAAGTATGTAATACCAAGGTTGTGGCCCCTCCACCAGGGTCTATATGTCAAAATATATATGTATCTTAGATGGTTACACTTGTTAATTGTATCAATTGTATTGTAATATTTTGAAAACAGTAATACATAATCAATATCAAAGTGTTATTTTGTTTCTTGTTTGTAGGGTGGGGGGACTTTCTTGGCCGATACTGTGTTACACTATTAGTTCGTCAGGTTCTTGGGGGGTTGGATGGCTGAATGGTTAGCGTGCGCGCGCTGTATCATAACGTCTGTCATTGAATCGACTGGCGTGGTTTCGAATCCTCGGTTGTACGTGACAAGGAGTAGGGTCGCCTGTCCAACCTCGTGGGTTTTCTCCGGGTCCTCCCACTGCTAAAGTCCCCTACGGGCAAGCGAATTATTGAAATAAAATTAAAAACCATATGTTAGTCCCGAAATGACCTAGTTTGTGTCGAGTGGACGTTAAACCCCATTTCTCTCTCTCTCTCTCTCGTCAGGTTCTAGATGACAACACCGGTTTAACTTCATGTAATACTTTTATTCTTGTAGTCGCATAAAGTACTTACAGATATCTAGTATGAAGTTGACAGGCTATACATTTGGCCTAGGCTTAACCTTAAAAGCATGCTCAAAGTAATGAAGTGAAATGAAATGGGGTTTAACGTCCTACTGTTCTGCTCCGACTGGGCGAATTAAGACAGGCATACGCCATACAGTGTGCAATGAGGGAAATTTTGCCCGGCACTATGGCCTACTCTTTATCGAATTCTAACTGCCAAGGGATCTTTTACGTGCATGCCATAGTATACACGGGACCTCGGTTTTTCGTCCCATCTGAACGACTAGACAGCTGAATTGTCTCGGCCAATGCAGGGATCGACGAACACGCGCCCTCCGTGCTGACGAACCAGCGTCTTACCCACTTAGCCACCTTAGCTACCATGTTCAAAGTATAGCCCCAGTTGACGGTACAAACAAAAGTCTATAGAAAGTAAAAAAAAAAAACACTTGAAAAGTTATATATACAAAAAGTATACGCGTTTGTTTGTTTGTTGTTGTTTTTCACGGTCATTATTTTCACATCTTAATGTCACACACGCGAGGTATATAAACCACATATAATAAAAGTTCTTCTAACGATCATGATACCTGTTTTCATTTTTCCCGATAACTTTTTGGAAGCACAATTTCATAACACGTGATGTATATAACGGTCATAAAACCGTCACACACGCGATGAAGAAGCGCGAGGTATTCACTTTCTTTCATTATTTTCGTACTTTTCTTTCAGAATTTTCACTAAGGGCCGCCATTATTTTTGTCGGATAGTCGTTCCCTTTTCCATACCATCTGGCCAAACGGTGTTTTATGTAATGGGCTATGAAAAATATTATAACTGCCACCCGTACCCAAGTTTTGTCATCTACATTTTATTATAGATTGAACTCAATTGAATAATCAAATTAGCACGTGGAACATACTTTAGATAACGATCTATTATACAATATTATTTAAGTTAGAATCTATATAAACAAAATTTAAAATAGGATTTTGTCATATTGTTTTATTTACCTCAAGATGAAGGATAATGAATCATCTGATCACATTTCACAAGTCTTAAATAAGACATTTTTGAAAGAATTTATCAAAACTAACAAAGGTATATCTCTCTTAGACACATACAATAATACAGCACATTGGTGACTCTTCTTCGAAGGTATATAACTAATCAGTTTCTCTCAATACAATAAAAATCACTCCCGTAATTTCGGGGGATCCCATAATATTTGGGGTACTACGTTAAAACAAAATATAAATCTCCCCTATGCCTGAAATACACGTAGACAAAATAAAAAAAACCTATGAGTAAATTCGTTAATACTTTGTGAATGTTCATGTGTCAAGTTCCAAATTACGATACTGTTAACGAAATTCTAGTTAAACAATCACAAAGCATTTTACTTCTCAATATAAACCTCTGCGAAACAACAAGCGTACATATAATCCTTTTTTTAGTCATCTCTCTACACATAGCTACTACTAGCTTGATAGGCGCAACATATTTATTTTTTGAGTTAGGGACATTAGTTTAAAGGTCATATTTCTTAATATACTAAGCAGCAAAAGAAACGTCAGGTTGGTATGTTACTCTGAAAAGGCGCATTGCATAAAACTTGCCAAATGTTTTTATTGTATATTTGTGACCAAATCTCCAACTTTACCTGAGCAATAAAGCTTCTTCCCAAACACAGAATTGAACACAGGAAATGTTCTCAAAAACGCAACCAAATTCTGAGTTGGTAATGTGTTCTCCGTGACTTTCATGTAACTCATGCTGCACGTGCTGTTCACCGGGACCAGCCCTATAAAATGCACCCCCATACCTGGTTGAATCATTCACACTACAACGTCAGCAGCATGCAATGACTCACGAGAGCTCAGACGAACAAGGCGATTGGAAGACTCGACGATGGCCGCACTGCCCCGGACGTTGCCAATCATTTCCGGGGCAATGCCCGGACCATCTACAGGCTTCAGCAACGCTTTCGGGACACCAACACCACGGATAATCATCCTCAGCACAGGCATCAGAGAGATCACGTCAGACAGTGGAAACAGATACAATGCGCCGACGTCTCACCGGAGAGAACGTCCATTGCCGTAGCCCTTAATGTGGACCGATCCTCACGACCCACCATCGACGTGAACGTCTACAGTTTGCCCAACAACACCAGAACTGGCGATACAGACAATGAAGAACTGTTCTGTTCACAGATGAGAGTCGGTATTGCGTATCAACTGCAGATGACGGGGCCAGAATATGGCGTCGACGTGGCTAGCGTTATTCTGACCAATGAGTCATGGAACGGTCCACTGATGTATAGACTGTCTACAGACTCTAAACCGTCTTGGAATTGATGAATTAATTACTAATGTGTCAACATACCGTTCACAAAAAAATTGCTTTGATCCATTTAGTAAGTCGTTTTCTAGAATGATTTGATTAAAGTACCTCTCTGATTTTGAAATCGTACTGACGTTTTTTTTTGCTGTTTAGTATACATGTGATTTAATAAGTAAATAGTAAAGGGCTTCCAGGCAATGTTTGAAACAATTGAAATTGCCATAGACAGCAGATTTTCCGAAAGGGGAAACTAGGCTGTTCACACTTGAATTCAAACAATTCTGCAGAGCGAAATATTATAATTTGCTTGATTGGCTTTGTTTTCGACTTCTACGTCGCTACTTCCATAATTAACAGCTTTAGGGTTATTATAAGGAATAAGCGGCTCATTATATTCCCGAGGTCTGTTCGCTCTGAAAAGGTAAAGAAAATGGTTATTGTCATTGTAAAATTTCACCTGAAAATGAGTTTTATTCAACATGGAGTAACAATGTAAATATTACTCGTCCTTATTTTAGTTCAATAATGTTTTTGCTGTTTGCTGGTTATTATAATAGGGTTAGGATTTTACGTATACTACTTACCATAATAGGGTTATGAATAGGGTGGTATTACAAGTATACTAGGTATTATAATAGGATTAGGATCAGGGTGGTTTTACATGTATACTGGTTATTATAATAGTGGCTGGATTAAGGTGGTTTTAAATGAATACTGATCATTGTAATCAGACAGATGTCCACACGATAAGACTAAAGATATCAGAATTTATAATCTTAAACATATTTAGACAATACTCCCCCCTCAGTCAGTCACCCTTATCTATCAGATTTAAACTATTCGAGTTCTAAATACGCGTATCATGGGAATAGACTTTGATTAGACTTTTAAAGTCTATTAGTTTAAACATATTTGTCAATAAAATATGTTTAAACTAATAGACTTTTATATTGTGCACACTGCACAACCATAGAAAGTTACTGAAATAATCATTAAACATGTACTAACAAGACAAGAAATGTTATCACTTTTACTGAATGGGTTTTAGTCGTGCTTGACCCCGAACGTCCAGTAATTCCATATCCATGCCTTCTTCTTCAACAAGAGTTGTCCACGTTGAGCTGACGGAAATGGGTTTTACAGTCTTACTTTTCTGCAGCAAGTGGGCCAATGAAGACGGGTATACGCTATTCCAGGGTACTTTTGAGAGAAATGTTGCCCGGATAGCGACGCTCTTGTCTACTCTTTTTCAGAATTCCAACTCCGAAGAGGTATTTTACGTACACGTCAAAGTGTACACAGAACCTCGGTTTTTATGCGGCCTTGCAACAAAAAAACGATGACCTTTCTCGATGAACAGGGCAACTCCGAGTTAGCGATACAACGTATTACACACTGAGCCGCAGTGGCTCCCCGAATGAGAGACGTCCATTAACAACCCTTTGTTAAAATGTATCCAATTTTCGATCTTTGTCCTATACACCAGCTTAATAGCTACTTTATACTGTTATGAAAATAACGTACATGCAGAAAATTAGAACTTCAAGTATTACTTCAAAGAGAAAAACTCCAACATCAATACCAATAACAGCGTCTTTATCCATCGATATTTCACCTATAGAAATTTAATAAAAATAAATAAAGCTTGCAATGTCGCCAAAGCCTATTTGCAGGAGAATACACTGTAATCCGGGTATTATTTAATTCTTGTTTAAAAACTCTAATTTGTACTTGTGTCCATTTCCAAGCTGAACATTCAATTTTGATAATTTACAAGGGTACGTGTACTTTCTCGATCACTGTTCAAAAAATAAACAACCCTATTAATTGATTATTGATGTGTAATGATTTATTTTTTAACAGTTATCAGGGGCCAGTTGCTCAAAACTAAGTTATTTTTACGATCCGTTAAACTCTGACGGATCGTTATCTTGCTAACGTGTCGTTTGTTAACAGACCGTTAAATATCTGTTGCCGGAAAGTCAATTTCATTATCTGTTAGCTAACAGATTGATTAAAGTTAATCCAAGAGAAGACTGTTTGTTCATTGGCTGAATTTTACATTTTCAAATTGCATCTACATGTATAACAAATTAATAGAAGTTAGTATTAACAAGGAACTGAAGACAGTGAGACAACTGTGCAGTCTGTCCACAAAACTTGATTTAAGACAAGAAGATAACTATAAAAAGATAACTTATTTTATTTTTTACTTTAAACTTTTTTGCATAAATCTGTTGGAAAATTATGGGATTTGAACTACAAAATATTTGGGGTCATTATTTCCTACAGGCTCCCAAGTACTATAGAATTTCATCCTATAGAAAATGGAATAGCCCTCCCCCCACCCAGCCCTCTAGAATGTTCTATAGAAAATTACACTGGTAATCTATGAAGTTTTGCTACAGCCCACTAATGCCATCGTTAAACAGATGACGAGGCCCAACACCTCCGTTAAATATAACGGCAAGTTAAGGACACTTTAAAGTTAACAGGGCTTCCAGCAACAATCTTTTCTCCCCGTTAAAGTTAACGGATCGTTAAAAATTAACGGAGCTTTGAGCAACCGGCCCCAGGAAATTAAATACTTGTAAATTAGATACCCAGTCAGCTTTAAACTGGACACATGTACAAATTAGATGATGTGGGTTGATTTTAAATGATTTTTACGAATTTTTTAAACAAAGATTTGATATTAAACGAATGTGAAAGAAATTAGTGCTAGACACACAAGATACCCAGGTCAGATTGATAGTGTCTATCCACGCTATATTTATATCGAATGGACACTCGTGTTTAACATTAAAGGGGAAGACCAACGATTTTCAACAAGGTTTCAATAAATCTTAAATATATATTAATAAATAATCCCCTCTGTAACACATGCAAAAAAGTTTTTTGTAAGCGAAAAATTAATTTTTATTAAACCGTAAGTGACATAGTTGGTTCAACACGCTCACTGGTCTTTATAGAAAGCATACAGATTTGGCACAAGTTTACTGCTGTATTGTGTTCACGCGTCGTCCTTTGGCCAAAAATCTGATCAAATGGGTTGTTTATTAGGATATAATAAACACGAATTTATGTTTTTTTAACGTTTAGTACACTAAGCCGCCGCGTAAATTCACTCATACTGAACAGTACGCTGTGCCTCAATTCACGCCACATGGTTAATTGTTTACATCACGTGCTTTGATTGACAGCCTGCAAGTGAGAGATGTTTCGTCAGCTTGAATGTTTTTTTGTACGTGCTGGGTCTGCTGACATTGTTTTTATTTATTTCAACGGACTTGTTGCACATTTATATTCAAATAAATATATAAATTTCCAAGGTAAGTAAACGTCAAAACACCAAGTATTGGAATATAAAATATATCTTCTATGGGTCTACAGTAATGCCGTATAAACAATCGACCCCAGCCATTTTGAAGAGGAAATGGAAGAAAAAAGGAAAAGCCGTTCACGTCGACATGATGTGCCAAAATGCACTATATTATCTATATTATATGTGTTACATGCCCATAATTTTGATCTGTTTATGTTGAAAAAAGCTGTCAGCAAGCACAAAAACATCGAAGCAGACGAAATACATGTCACTGGCAAGTTGTCAAGCAAACCACGTGATGTAAACAATTAGCCATGTGGCGTGATTTGAGGCACAGCGTACTGTTCAGTATGAGTGAATTTACGCGGCGGCTTAGTGTACTAAACGTTAAAACCCCCCATAAATTCGTGTTTATAATATCCAAATAAACAGCCCATTTCATCAGATTTTTGGCCAAAGGACGACGCGTGAACACAATACAGCTGTAAACTTATGCCAAATCTGTATGCTTGTTATAGAGACCACCGAGCGGGTTGAACCAACTATGTCACTTCCGGTTTTAATAAAAATTAATTTCTCGCTTACAAAAACGTTTTTGCATGTGCTACAGATGGGATTATTTATCAATATATATTTAAGATTTATGGAAAGCTTGTTGAAAATCGTTGGTCTTCCCCTTTAATTGCCACGTAGTTGATTGGGACTTGTATTAATACTTTATCTTGTTTTTTTCATATAATAATAGTTTAATATATTTTTAATCCACCCATTACGGGTGTGCAAAGCGCTACATTTACACCATCCGTCATCTATAGCGTTTTCCGCTCAGACATCGCTTCTGAGGTGGCGCCACTGCATTATGGGTTACGGCAGATGGACAAGTCAGGTAAAATTATGTTTATATTTCAGAACACTGATTAATCTATTAACTTTGTACCAAGAGATGATTGTCATACTTTGTGGTGTTCTGGCCTCTTCTTTTAAATTTAGAAGTATGATACAAATGATTAAGTGTCTTGCTCGTATGTAGCACTATCGTCGTTGCGACACTGTTTTTAAATTTATAGACAAGGAATAGAGAAATGTGATATATTTCATTAATTAATATCTTTGGCAAGTTAGTAATTCCAAATATATTCACATGTTCTAAATCAACTTATGGTATAAATGACATTTTATTGTTATATAAAATAGAGTTATTTAGCCATAACATGTGTCTATAAAATACCCCGAGATTACATGTGAGTGGAATTATTCTAATTGCATCATTTGGCATAAAGTAACCAATCATATCGTTAATTACACAAGTTCAGGGCCATGATCACACTTGATTGTGCGTGATATTCGTATGGCTATAAAAGAAACCGTGGAACTCTGTAAGACAGACTTCCATTAGATTCCAGAGAGGTTCCATCTGAGTTCCTAGACAGCCGCGAGGCTGGCTAGGGTGAAGAAATTATTTTAGCTAGTATTGTAATCTGTGCTTGTATACATGTATTCGGCTGTGCTATATAAAATGTAGAAGCGAACTGTTGCATTGTTATTCCTGGTAAGACAAACTTCTTAAGAATATGTAAGAAGTAAATACACAACGTGAAGCAGAAGTAAAGACTGTCTGCGATATCACCTCGGTGGAAGCGGACGTAAAATACAACTAACTAACAACAACAACAACAGAAGTAAAGACAGCTAGAGACAAATTCTAGACGATCACAAGGCTACAGAAATATGTAGTAAGAAAAGATGCATGGATCATATATAAGATGTGGCGACCAGTTTCCGACAACACCCGCTCTCCACGTCTGACAAAAGACCTATGGTGCTACACGTACAAACTGTATTATATTTATAAACAAGGTTCGCTTCCCCAGATGTGATGTCTCATCAGACAAATGTTTAGCATCCTTCAAAACAGGATGAACAGGTGATGAGCATGCATTGTATGGGTATGTCACCCATTGATATATATAATGTTTGACACCTGGTTCTCTCAAAGGTGTATGTCACTCATTTATTAAACAGCCTTTAATTAAACGTTAAATAAGTTTATCTACCGATTATTACTGTAAACAAGTACTTCATTAGATGTCATATTGTTAAGAGATTTGTAAAATGCAAATACTGTACATGATTTGTATTACGTTATTATTGAATTGTTATTATTAATATTGGTATATATTATGTTATATAAAACGCTTTATTTGTAATATTAAATAAATAATTATAGTAATAAACACCGCATTATACTTTATGTCTTTATTTGGCATGCACTTGCATAAAAATGTGATTTCAAATTTACATAATATGTACATCTATTAGGAATATGATTAGGCAAGTCTGTTGATAATTGATGGACGGGAATTAACATTTAACATATAAGTAGCCTACGATTCCTTAACCTAGCAGACAGATCTTTCCACGTGTTCAAGATGAAAATAACTTTGATGCAATCAGACGATTGTGTACAAAGTATCCAGGTTCTAGCCGCGACTTGCCCTTTATCATTGTTGGGGTGTTGTCTAATGAAATACTTGGTTCTATATTCAAACTGTTTGTGCAAGCTGAAACATGCGTTATTACCCTGACATGCTATTGTTTGTTGCGTAAGATTTGGTTTACAATTATAATTAAAGATAACACCTAGATAATTAAAGTTATTTACAGTTTTAATATTACAGTTTTTAATTGTCCATAAATTTGTGTTAAATTCGCCGCCCCCACCAGCCTCCTATATACAGCAGATTTTGTTTTCATCTCATTAACTTTAAGATGGTTTGATTCACAACAAAAATCTACCACATCTAACATATTCTGTAGATTATCAAGGGTTTTGCTTAAAAGGTAGTATCATCTGCATACATTATTAAGTGTTACGCGGTGAAGGCGTCATAATTCTATTTTAAAAAAAAGGGCGCTGTTTACAATTATATGGTGGCTGATTGGGGACATGTACCATCTCTCCTTTTTCATAAACCGACAGAAAATGTTATGTATCAAAGGCAAATTATCAAAGATATTCTTTTCGATAAATAAATATTCTACTTTGTCTGGCATTTGCCCTAATACTGTCAAATCGAATGTTGTGGAGGATTTTTTTTTCTAACAGATTAATAAAATATATAGTAAGAACTCGTTCCGTCATGCATGAGAGTGGATAAATAAATATAAATAGGTAATGATTAGTTTACCTCCCAACACGATTTGGGAATGAACCGGAGACCCTATGGTTATCGAGCCAGTGACTTACTCACCGAGGCTCCCAATGATTTGAAAAAAAAAATTACCCCGATATAAAGCTAAACTAATATAAAATATACTTGTTCTGTGCATAATATATTTCATAACTGTGAGGGGAAAAGATACACTAAACTAATCAATACCTATTTATATTTATTTATTCACTTTTAGGCATGACGTAATGAGTTCTTACGGTACATTGTATTATTCTTTTAGAAAAAAAGAATAGGCCAAATCATATGATATGGATGCACGACAAAGTGGCCAATTCAAACAATTATAACATATCTGGGATAATTTGCTTTTGTACCTAAAATATTTTATTGGTTTTTTATTTTAAAGAAACATGTCGTCATGTCTGTCGGGTTATGAAAAAGGCGAGATTTTACATGTTCTCAATCAGTTGCCATATAATATAAAACAACGCCACCTGTTACCAAAATAAACGTTAGAGGTTATATGCATAGAAGTAAGCATAATAGCATACGCATTACTAGGTTAAGGGTTAGAATTATGACGGGAATTCCGCTCCATAGTAGAATGGCGTGTGTGTGTTTCTCATTCATAAACACCAGGTAGTGATGGAACCAGTTTTATATAACCACTTTGGCTTGTTACGGCAATTGTGAATACTAATCTTCTCTTGAATAAAACACTGTTTAAACCGGCTTGTAGTGACATTCATTAAGGTAATCCCCCCCCCCCCTAATATCGTTACACATATTTGCCGAATTCATCAATTGGACGATTATTTATCTTTTTAAATACTATGAGTACAAACGGCTTTGGTAAACCGAGAGTAATATTTATACTTACACAGAAAATAACTTGCCAATCCTGTAGCAAGCACACATAGTAGGGGTATTAGTATCAGTGGTATCAGAAAGTAACTTTGAGGTCCTAGAATAAAAAAAATAACTATTCATCTGTATGTTAAATACATACAGTAGTAACTACTACAAGCTTAACATCATTATATACTTACTGAAAACAGTATAATAATCATACACGTAATACCATTATAAAGTTATTGAAAACATTATAATAATCATATTAATACTTACCGGCATATACCTTATAGAAATATACCACAGTAAGTATAATAGTAATAACAGACATAATTGCAGAAACTCCAACTGATATTCCGGCAATTTCCGGACAACCCAGATCTGGTGAATTATCGGTTTCTATGATTTGAAATAAAAGAAGTTTAGATTATTATTTAATATTATGTTGAATGGGTTTGATTATGACGACCTTCCTTTGTGGAACATTATACCGGTAAAGCTTTGTAACTGATTGTGTATTGCACTGTCGTCATTTCTCCAAAATAAATCTAAAATAGTTCGTCAACTTAAACTTCAGAAACATTGTTTCTTTGTCAAAATCAAAATCTCCCCATTGCTAACTGCAACAGCACACCAGATTAACTCATATATTTTGATAGATCGTCTGGTGAATCTATTTCTTTTCTAATACTCACAAATGTAAAGAAGCACTGAAATGTGATTCGTGAGAAACTTGTCTATAGTACACAAATTAGTCTTAACACTGTGTCCGCGTTTTATTATTCGGAATTTAAAGATGCGTTTTGTGCGATTTAGATAAAGAGCTGACAGTTAACACTATAATCAAAAAGGGATATGTTGAAAATGCCAGCCAAATTTGTTCATTCTGAGCGGAGTTATTGCCATTAGAAGAACAGTAGTCTCGATTGTCATTACCACAGTTGTTCCGATAATAAAGTACCGTTATCCATATTTGAATCAAATCATTATCTTGCAATCATATTAAATTCGGTAAAAATCAAAAGCATCCGATGGTCTACAGCGTAGATTACCTGCTTAGCATGTGAATATAAAACCCTTTAATGGTTGTAATTTCAAATTATTCTGATTTTGATATATATTACAGAATATAGTTAATTTAGGAATAAAATACCACTTTCAACAAAATTACAACATATTTTCCATAAACTTTTCTCATTCTTAATCCAACCCCAATAATGGGACGCTGCCTACTATTGATACAATATTTTACAATGCATTAAACGACGAATTGATAGACATAAATACATTAATATCTGATTTTTAAATTTAATTTTATTGACGATTAACATTTATAAGGTAGACGTGCCGTCTATGAACAAATGGTTGCCATGCAACAAACGCACATATTTCGCATAAGATAGGGCTCATTCTCTCATTTTCCCAATGCTTTCACATCGAATATGAAAACAATATGCTATCTATGTCCATCTATCGATAATATTTGTCTTCTCTTGACAACAATGCTTCACACAAAATTTAAAATATCCAATACGAGAGGCACTGGAACGGTGAATATCAACAGTGATCGTCTTCGGATCAGCCCAATTTTTCACACCAAAATTTAAAAAAAAAATATGTTAAAAATAAGACAGTGGTACAGGCAGGTGTATTGTTGAAATAAAGCAGCCAAATCCAAAGTCATCGTTATCATTACATCCTTTGATCATATGTTACACACACATATATGTTGTATCAAATTAACCAATATGAGTCCATGAATGCTTTAGGCCATCGAATTTGGGATTCGGGCGAACTTGTGCCCCGGACCCTACATATGATCAGGTCATGATCATTCATCGAATTCTATCGTTTTAACAAGGGCTTTCAACTGACATTTCTAATATGAGTAGAGCTCTCTAACATTGCAATCTACGACAACGTTTGGTGCATATTACGAATTAAGCATCATACTCAGTAACAAAATGTGGAACAAATGAACTATTCACTTTCTTTTAGGATCTTCAATGAGTTCAATTTTTGTGCGCATTGGATCTTCAATGCTGGAGTTATGTCCCGTGGCCCATTTACATAAATATGAAATATGTACACAGTTTGTGGGACCTCCAAGGGCCACAACCCTTTGTCCGATATAAATGAAACATAATACGTGTGTTACCGTTCAAAGGTTCGAGGATTAGTTCGATTTGGTTTAAAGATTTTGTGTGATCCGTTTAAGAACACCATCGCTTCCTTTAGCCTCCAGTTTCGGAGTTACCTCCAACCCCGCCGATAACCTAGTGATCGCGATATAGCCTACATTTTCTTTAACGATGAAGCCCATCAATAATGATAGAAATCGGATTTCATGTAGAGGGTTCATGATCTGTATCAAATTTGGTAAACATCCATGTTTAACTTTTGGATAAGCTGCTGTTGCAACAAAGCATATTTTCAATCTTTGTGTGGCTATATTATTTTACTTTGCTGGATATATAAGCCTTGTACTTTTGACCTTGAATTTTTGTTATGTGTTGTTTAGCATTTTGTTGGTCATCTGTAATTTGATTAGTTTTAAATGAAATGAAATGGGGTTTAACGTCCTACTCTTCTGCACCTAACCTGGGCTAATTGAAGACGGGCATACGCCATACAGTGTGCTATGAGGGAAATTTTGCCCGGACAGCGGCGCTACGGCCTACTCTTATATCGAATTCCAACTGCCAAGGGATCTTTTACGTGCACGCCAATGTGTACACGGGACCTCGGTTTTTCGTCCCATCCGAACGACTAGGCAGCTGTCCTTGTCAGGCCCTCCGTTCTGCATCACTGACAAGGGGAAACCACGCCGGAAAATCGAGATGAACTTTCTCGGCCAATGCAGGGATCGAACACCCGACTTCCAGGCTAGTGAGCCAGCGCCTTACCCACTTAGCCACGTGATCCCCTGATTAGTTTTACCTGTACGGTTACCCATGATCTTTCTACAATAGACTGTTTCATCTTTGGTGTTTCCAGCTGTCCAAATCCATTCAGGCTTAACCACTACAGCGTTTGGCCAAGTATCGTCACTGAACCTACAAAGGGATAAAAGATAGTCTCAAAAAATACACACATTGCCATAGACCGCAGGTTAACCAAAAGGTAAACTTGATTATTCACAAAATTACCTTCAATAAATCTAGTCTATTTCGTGTCCACAATCTTGAAATACACCTGTTAAAAACTATGGCGTCTATCGCGTTCACAAACTTTTGACAGGGGTTGGGGAAGCACCATATTCATCCATATTAAGACTAAATTGTGGGTTTAGAGCCATTTTCGTATATTTTAAGGTTTCAAAGTATAGAACAATAGGCCCTTTAAATAAATGATAAAGAATATCTCACCCGAGTTCATTCCACCCTTGGTGATATTTGTTGTTACATTTCCATGCTGCACTTGTTTCAATGCCATTGTTCAATGTCATCTTTATTCCAACAGGCCCTGTATAGGTGCACTTTATAGCAACAAGTTGCGTATCCCCAGGAATGCTGATATTGGCAGGTTGGTCCCAGGTATCGATATCGCCATTCTTATACAGAATACCATCAACATAAATCACCATGATATTATGACACGCAACTTCACCTGTTATATTTTCCAGACCTGAATTTAGAAAGTTTGGATTAACAGTATCCTGTATCTCAGAAAGAAAACCATACAATATTATATAAATAGTTTTGTAGTTTTCAAATAATTATTTATTACACATAATAAATTATGCTTTGGAATTAAACTGTCGCTGCTCTCTAATAATCTTAGATTTCACGTTATTGCAATTATCACTAAAATATTCGACGTTGGTAAAGACTTTACGCTGACGCTAATATCACCCCAACAAAACTCAGAAACACTGTTCTTTTTAAAAATATGGTTTTATATAAAGCAGCGAAACAAAGTTTACAAACATAAATCTATGAATGCAGAAAAAAACACAACTTCCAGTCTCAACCCCACTACGCTTGTTCTAGCCATAGTGGTTACTGTTCGAAACGTTATTCCACGTTCTCCCCAGAATTGAAATGGCTATCTGATTTGCTAGTAGTAGTACGTCTGAACGTTTAGTATCTTTAAAGTCTGCAGGTTTGTTATCTATTTAGCGGACACGTGTTCCCCTCTCTTCTCCTTATGAACTCACGTATAGAATGAAACAGAGATGTGTTTCCGAGTTGGACCATTGTTTTTTGTCGCCTCAACTTCTAAGCTCATCAGTTAATTTACATGTGGAAGCGGAAATCACTTTGCCTTCAAATCATACACCTGTATTTGTCACTTTCAATACTCGTTATTTGTCAACTAGCAGTTATAATCTCGGCCAGTTAACTCATCAGCGTGCACTCCTATTGGGCGACCATACCACAGGAGCTGAGAAAACTCGGAAAAGTCCGTAACATCGACAACAAAAGTGGTCAGAGATCATCGACCCATCTCGTGTATCTCGCCTTTTAGAAAATTCAAAACCGCCAGATGTAGACTCTGTTGACGGAAATGTTGGTGAAACATTCACAAAACGATTCCCGTCAGATTTGACAGTATAAATTAGAACGACACCTTGAACGATAATTTAAGCGATGCTCAAATATGAAAAACATGTGTTTTCACTGTTTAAGCCATACAATACTAAAGGCCTTAGGTGGGCATTTTCTTTCGGTGTACGTGTCGCATCAGGTGATGGCGAATAAAACGAGGGCTGGTCGACATCGTCCAGAAGGGTAAGCGGAGATTTACAAATCGACAGTTTAGATCGCCCAGTAGTATCACGCGTTTATAATTCTGGACGAAATCATCAGTAACAAGGTAATTCAGATCAGCATCAGCTAGCGTTGCTATAGAAAAGAACTGTGAGCTTTTCGGTGGTATGTAACATGACACAAAACTAACTTCCGGATAATCCTTTAAACTAAAACGTATCTGCTCTTGTTTTTTAGCAGTCCATGTAATAATACTATCAGCCACCACGATGTCGTTGTTTACCACCACTGGTATAAGTAAAGTAATCTGGTAAATTGAAGCTTAGTTCAGTCTGAACTTCGTTGAGTAAAATAATATCTGCACGACTCAATAAAGTCTGTATAAGAGAATTTTCTTGCTTATTTTTAACATAGTTAATATTCCAAGTTACTATTCGTAGCATGGTATCACTTTGCCCGTTCTCTAAAAATCCGACATTTCCCAACGGTCGATGATTACTCCATCTCGCAGTAGCACGGTTTTTCTTGTCCAAAGTGATCTGATGACATTCATAATCTCCGGGTTCTTTTTCTCATCATCTTCCGCTTCAAACAAACGGCTCCATTCTTTACGTATAGCTGGATGATGGTCCCGTGGTTACCCGAATATTGGTAATACCCGAATATTGGTAATCTTTTGGTTGTTTTGCAGCTCACTAGCGTTATTCAGAAGCTGTTTTCTCGCTGATGCGGACTGTATTATTACTAAGCCTGGGCGTTGAGAACCGTCACTGTGTTTTGGTCCTAACCGCTTTCTGATTCGTAAAACATTTTAAAAATATATTCATTCCAAAGTCATCGGCCATTCTTTGGAGGTGTGGTGGCCGGTGGGGGTAGGTCAAAGTTACAGGAACACCAAAAAATATAATAATAACTATCCATAGTCACAAGTCATGGATATCGTTAAAAAGAGAAAAGAAATATTAAAATCGGCCAAAGTCGCTGCGTTAATAGCAAAAACAAAACATAGACAGATGGGGAAAGCTGAAAGAGATGAAAGTTCTTACTCTTACTTAGTATTATTTTAGAGATTTGATGAATGAAGAGGTAAATAAAAACTTTATACAAAAATATATCTGAATTTATAAATATAACAAACAGTACAGTAATCAATGAAAGATCAACCATTACAGTTAATTTAAGTGAATTGAAGACAAGTTTTGCGTGTCTAACAACTACATAACATTATTTCGTTTCGTTGTTAAAAGTCCGGTTGTGGTATTAATTTTACAAGTGGAAAAAAAACATATTAACGGGAAATAAACAAATCCCGATCACCAAGTCGCATTACATGTATTTTAAGTTGTCAGTTTCTCATACTCTTCAGAGGATCAAAAACATTGTGTTAATATTTAGTATTAATATATATATTTTTTATCCAAAATAGCGTTATTAGAATGCTTTGCTGTATCGTTATGATTGAACACCAGCTTTTGTCTTGAGAGTAATTAAAACTTTTCCACTTCGATCTCAAGCGGTTAGATTGTGAGAAAATATAAAAAGGAAGTACAGAATATGTACATACCTAATTACATAAATATAGAAAATATTGGATTCATGTAATGGATAATATAGGAGCATATTTATATAAATATTTCTGTAGGTAGAAAATTATTCTAAGAGTATTGTTTGGTTATTGTTTTTTGGTGTAAACAAAACTCGCTTAGTTATAACGAGGTAAATTTCACCCGGGCGGAAAATTTCCTATAGACATAACAAATGCAAGTTTGAGGGGCTAGATCTATTTCTCAAGGTCAACTCAAGATTTCCTCAGGGTCACTGAAGTGTAAATAAGGTTAGGGCAAGTGAATGTTGGCGAGATTGTAGGTTAGGTTTGAGAAACCGTTATGGCTTGGTCTAATGTCAGGGTTAGGATTGAGATTAGACTTAGCCCTATTTACATCTCATGACTTTTGACCAAAATTGAAGTTGGCCTTATGAAATAGATCATCTGACCGGTTTGAGGTCGCTTACAATAGTTGTCTCCCTTGCCATAAAATAAAATCAATTTCTTTTTTTATAAATAATATTTTTATTCAGTAAATATCTGAATTTTTATTAGAAAATCAACTATGCATATGTGTAACACCTCTCCCTTATTTAGCTACATTTACGCAACTTAAATATACACAGTATATATACATAATTACATAAATATAGAACATATAGGGTATAAATAATGGATAATAAGGAGACATATTCGTAAAACGTTTTGGGTATATATTCATTCCGAAGCCACCAGTCATTCTGGTAAGTGGAAATGTCTTAGCTAGTACAGAAATTTGTCGATTTTTTTTTTAATAATTTGATCTTTCATTTCTCCAAGGGGAGATAAGTTAGAAAATTTATATGGACATTGTTGAAGTTGGGTCAACCAGATCTACAAACAGTCCCAGTTTCATAAAAAATCTTACTAATATTCAAGAACGAAGGTCTATTCCGAGTATTTCAAATACCAAAAATTCGACCATGAGTCAGGCTATCCAACATGTATTAATTTCAGAAATACGAGACGATTTCAACAAACGACGGCTTATTGTGTTTATTTACATGCCCGTTAAAGTGGATATTTCACTATTGTCCATATTCAATTCAAAATGGAGATCATCAGTTGACCTAAATCAAAATTCTGCTTTCTACAGAAAATATAACTCCCAAATAAAATATCGCAAAACTCTCTCTTTTGTGTACTCGTCCGTAGTGTGTTAACTAGTACAGACAAAAAATTCAGGGCAATCTAACCCATTTTTTATCGACTTTTTTAAAGACTTTGATCCTTAATTTCTACAATCGAAGATAAATTAGGAAATATCTAATGACATCGTTGAAGTTGGATCAATCTGATCTAATTACATTCCAAATTTCATGAAAAACGTACTAATATATTAAAGAAGTTGTCAGGTTGGTTTTTACATCCGGGATGACATAATTTTCGAAATTCGAAAATCAGAAATAGCAGATTTAAACTAAATGTTTCAGGACACTCAAACAAAAAAGAATTCGTAAAATAGGTCACCAAGTCGTACAAGTACAGCTATGTAGCTCAATTTTTTTCATTCTTAAAATTCGGCGATATTGGATTCGTAAAACGATTTGAAAATATATTAATTCCAAAACCACCACCTACTCTTTGGTTAAGTCAAAGTTTTAGAAAGATCCTATGGCTAGATTCTGAGATATAAGCTTGGCAGGAAAGACACACACACAAAAAAATAATAACTAGATCTGATACTATATCATGTATATATGAAAGCTTTCATATTGATCGTCACGTGTCAAGAATCTTAGAAGCAAAAAGAACAAGAAAAAATAATTATTAAAATCGGTAAAAAAAACTCGCGAAGTTATAAATCTAAATATAGTGAGATACATTGCACCCGGGGGAAAACTCATCTGAAAAAGAAAGGGATATAACTGAGACTTATATTGCTGTAACCTGATTGACTTTCAAGATGGTGGCACTTCCGATTAGATCGTCAAACTCTGTGTACGCATTAGTATGTTTTTTAGCTATTACAGGAACAATTTTTGAAGCAATCTGACCTACTTTTTGTCGAGGAATGCATTAATTTCAAAAATAGGAGACGAATTCAACAAACTACGACCTATTGTGTCTATTTACAAGCCCATCAATTTAGCTTTTTCACTATTTATAATATTCAATTCAAATTGATGGCCCCCAGTTGACCTAAATCAACATTTTGCTCTGATTGTTTTTTAGGCATTTCTTCAAAGATTCAGAAAATATACCCCCATCGACTAACTCCATATTATGTGTACGTATCAGTAGTATCTTAGCAATAACAAAAATAAATTTTCAAGGCAATCTGATCTACTTTTTTTCGATTAAAAAAATATATATCTTTAATTTCTCCA